CATCTTTTAATTATGGTTTCTACTTGGGTGCGTAAATTTTTTGTACTATAATTTATTATACTACATCTAACATCAATCTTGATTAGGTGGAGATGGAGAAGCAAGGCGGTATGCCACTTTCATGCTACATTGATGGAAGGGATCTGAGTTGGGTTCCAAAAAGCCCTCCTTCTAGGCAGCTTTTAATGCAACTTGATCCTTGGATTAGTCCTTACAGGTTTACATGTTATCAACAACTTAATGGTTATTGATTTTCACTATTTACTTAACATCTTTTGTGTCGTAGTCCTTCTCCCCCCTTAAATGTTATCACAATTTTTGCTATTGATTTTCACTATTTACTTAACACCTTTTGTGTCCTAGTCCTTTTCCCCCCTTAAATGTCATCACAATTTTTCGATCCCTAGAAGTTTGATAATTTAGGAAAGTGGTTGCTCATGAGGCAACAATTTTAGCTAGTAAAGAAGTCTTGTTTTAACAATCTATTAAACCCTAAACCATTCACTGATCTTTAAGAAAAACAAGAATCAACCCCTACATTAATTATTGTTTTATAAGATCAAATTTAGAGTATAGATAGACATGTAGGTTGATATTATTAGTTTATTTTTTTTGGTCTCTTGATACTGATATGGGATTTAAATTATTTTCATATCAGCCAATTTATGTTCATAACTTATTAGCAACTCAATCATAGCTAATTTGGCTGCTATAAAACACTTTCTTCATGGCTGATGAATTTTTTAAAATTCATCATTGCATCACCCGATTAAGATACATAGTACTTGATACTCCTCATATTTTCATTGCGACTCTCAATATTGATTCGTCTACCAATCATGCCTTTATTCAAAGCCTTGTTTCAAACTTTTAGTCAGTTTTCCTTTTCTATATGACTGAAAAGTAAAGGAAAAGCCGAGTAAATTTCAAGGAGAATAACTATCATAGTCTTAACAGTGCCGCGGTTCGTGAAAGCATATTTCAAGGAATTACTGATCAAATAAAGGGAACAGCAGTAAGTAGTCAAACACCAGGGTCATTGACTAGTCATATCTCAATCAAAGCTTTCTCAACCAAAAATCAGTCAGGAATTTCATATGGAGCTCAAGAAACCCTAATTACACTGCCAACGCAGGTAAATATTTCTTCTAACAAATCTAACAAACCTTTCGCCACTTCACCTCTATGACTACCATTACTACTACCATCGCCACCACTCTACTACCACCACTACCATTATTGCCATTACTACTACCATTACCTGTCCTTCACCCCTACCACTCCATCTACTCTACCACTACCACAAATTTCACCACTAATTTCCACTACAAGAAATTAGTCTTTTAGGGACTAATATTTAAGGACTAATTGAATTTGGTCGCTAAAAATAATCTTTTAGGGACAAATTAAAATATATGATAACTTACCTATAAGATTATAAAAATGACTATTAATATTCTCACTTAATATTTACATAACTTTTTGAGACTAATAAATTTGGTTGCTAATATATTATTAACCTTTTTAGAGGCTAAATATTTTTGTCATTATCAATTAAAAACATTTTGTGACCAAATATTTTAATCATTTTAACCATTAAAAAATCGGGACTCACTTCAGCCCTAACAGGATTTGCTAGCAATCAAAAAGTTGCAACTCTCTTTCTCTGTTCAATGAGTTTGCTCTCTCTCTAGAGCTCTAATACAGATTGGAAGCATCCATGGCAGATTTGCTCAATCTTCTTCAATTTTTGGTGCGTTTCTCTCTCTCTCTCTCTCTCTCTCTCTCCCCACATATACACATATATATGATTTACAATATTGATCCGATCATCTCTTTTTCTTTCTCTTTATCATTTTCTACATCGCAATCTTCAATCAATGGAAGATTTCATCATCGATTCATTGAAGAAGAATCTCAGTTGTTGATTTACTTCTCTTTCGAGTTCTCTCTCACCTGGTATCGAAAACCCTAGGTCAGTACTCTCTAAACTGTTAAAATTATTGATATATATGAAGTTTAAAACTCTGAAACTCTGATTTCTAAATATATAGGGTCCAAGTAAACTCTGATTTCTAAACTCTGTATCAGAGTTTTATATATGAAGTTTCTGATCTTAATTTCTGTAATTTTTATATCTTTTTGTGTTTTGTGATTGTTGTTCGAGTTTCTATATATGAATTTTTCTATAATTTTTGACCTGATGGATTTGATGAATGATTTTTTTTTTACTTCCCATTCTGTCACGCCCCCAAACCGCCCCTAGTAGTTTGGTGCCGTGATGGCCAGTAATCCGAGATTACCGAAGGCCGACTTACAAAATTCACACACCATCAGAGTATTAATATAGGGGGCTCACAAATGCGGAAGCAATAATTGAAGCTACAAGTGGTCCATAAGAGCAGTGCATAGGTCAAATGAAATGACATACATCCTTATAAAGTCTTACAACTTAAATACAATAAGGAAATGAAAAACAAAACACATCCTGACCAAAGGGCTTCTCAAGCCGACATATACAAGTACAAATGAAAATAAGCCGAGAAGCATGATCTTCAAGATGGCACAAAAATGCTAATCCAAAACATGTCGGCAATGCACCCAAAAATACATCGGCATCACGTCTAGGCCTCAATGCCTTCTTGTTCATCACCTACATATATATAGAGAGGGTGAGCTTGGATACTCAGTGAATGATATTAGAAATAAAGGTTTTGCATGATTGATATCCAAGATTTCTTTCAAAACAATACATAGCATACTTTACAATCAAGAGGGAAATCAAGTTCATTGCCGGCCTTTCAAGTTCTTTGGATGTTATTACATCTACTTAATACAAGGGGGTGATGACATATCATGACAAGAGTGCAGTTGCATTATAGTCCCCTGCAGCTAAGGACTTTCAAGACAAGAATGCAGTTGCATTATAGTCCCCTGCAGCTAAGGACTTTCAAGACAAGAATGCAGTTGCATTATAGTCCCCTGCAACTAAGGACTTTCAAGACAAAAGTGCAGTTGCATTATAGTCCCCTGCAACTAAGGACTTTCAAGAAATGTCATCAAAACAAGATAGTGCTTAATATACAAGTAGGGATAGTCATTCATGCTAAAATGTGATTGTAGTTTGTTCAATGCTTCTAAATAATCTTTCTACAAACACATGGCAAAGCCTATTGAATGCACTTTCAAACAAGTCTCTTATGTATGCAAATGATCTCGGAAAAGCATGCTGGGCACTAACCAGGTCTAGGCCGAGGTTCCACACCTCCTCGCCGAGGTGTGTTCCCGAGGGCCACATGCAAGGAAAAGAGGTCGGGAAACTCTGGGTTTCCCTCTGCTGAAGAACATGAAAAACATGAGTGTGAAAACATGAAAAATATGAATGCTCAATCATAATCTGCCATCACAAATCTGGGATTTTCGTGCTATGAGTTTGAAAACATGGACCTGGGTACCCGTACTTGGAATCCTTGCGGAAATAAACACAAAAACACGATTCTTCATGCAAGTTTTCGGATCAAAACAAGACTTTCTTGAAGAACACATGAATGTCATTTTCTCTTTCTAAAATCGAACTTCAAAACGATGCATGGCTTACAAATCATATCCGATCATGCAATGCAATAACATGAACATAGAAAACATCATGAGCAGATCAAGATTCTAACCTTAGAACGCGGATCTAACGGTTCGATCTCTAGGAATCAAGCTTGAAGATCTACTTCCTCACTCTAGAACTCTTTCTTCCTCCTAGAGCTTCTCTCTCTACAAGACAAGGTTATGATACTAAATGATAGTTTTCTATACCCGGTTCTGGGGTTAACCCTCTGCTGAGACACGTGGCGGCGACTGGTTGGGCTTTACCTGAAAAGGTGGCTGACAGGCCAGACAAAGCATGGTGGAAGGGTGTTCAACAAGCAAAACGGTATGGGCTCTCTGACGGGGCAATGACATCGGCTAACAACAAGGCGTATCTAACACGCTATACGGAATGGCACTCCGGCAAGGGATGACATCGGCTAACAAAGGACTTCGGCAACTAAGGTGACAATGACCTCGGCTAGGAAGGACAACACTTGACTAAGCTGTGCCACATCTTGGCCTAGATGCGCCACACCTCGGCCTAGGTCGTACCACTCCAGGACGAGATCGCTTGGGTGCAAGGTAACATCTCGGCTAATGTGATCAAGGCAAGGACGGAGGTCAACAAGGGGTTCCAAGGTACTTCTAGACTGAGGATGACCTCGGCTTGGAATAACATCGGCTAGCATAACTCAGGCAAGGCGTAACCTAATTTTCATATCAAGGAAGGAACAAGACAAGCATACTACACTTAGACAAATCACAAGGCTTCAAAACAAGGCATGGATCACATTATCTCAAGCGAAACAAATTACAACATACACATGCAAGCTTAACAAGTCATAATCATACCGATGCTCATGAACATGATGAGGACATAAAATGTGGGTTCCTACACATTCATTGACTGATTGATATCAGAAACTTCATAATATGTATATATGTTACTTTCTTTTTTCTTGATGGATTTCTATCTTGTTGGTGTTTGATTGGACTACTATAATTTTATATTTTGCTCACCATGTATTTGACAATATGCCTAATGATGATACTATGAAAATAATGAGTGTGTTCCATAGATATGAATCACATAGTTGCTTTAATTGTTGGTGTTACACTTATTATACTATAGTGAGAGTTATAACTTGAGTTGCTCAAGTTGGCTTGCTTGAGGTGCACCTTTTTGTGTAACTTAAGCTTTAGATACTTCTCCTTTTTGTGTTTCCTTATTGCTCCAAAGCCTAACATAGTTTTTAAATTTTCAGGAAATAATAAACATATTGTTCTTCATTAGATGTTTCTAAACATGAAAGAATGATGTTTCAGAATTTGCTATCTTATGGTGTCACTTCTTACACATTGTCTTCCATTAAAATGCTTCTTAATAAGCAATCATGCCCTTTCCTAAGGTTCATCTTGAATTTGCATCTTTTTTCATTGTTCAAATATTTATATAATTTAAGTTTGCAAATGTTCTGCTGTGCTTTGACTGATATTTCAAGGTTGTGAATTTTCTTTATTGTGCTTTGCCTTTTTATAGTTTATAGAATCCTTAAAGTGACTTTAGGCCATGTTTGGATCTTAAATTTATTGAGGGAAAGCAAAATGAAATAAAAAAAGATAGGAAACGAGACTAAAGTAAAAGGGGTTAAATTTATGTATTTATTTTTTAATGCTTTATCTGATAGAAACAACTTCTTGAATAAACTTGTAATCTTCACATTTACCAGCAACTTATAGCAAATTAAACTAATAAATCTCTAAATTCCTAACTTCCACAAACTTAATATCCTGTGAAGTTCTCTTGTTGCCTTTTGATTTATTATCTTGTGTTTCCTTCTCTTTGTTTCAGATATTGATTGTGGTAGCACTTGGGTTTCAAAGTTTGTCTGTTTTATTTGTTTCTAATGGCGGTATGTTAGACAATGACACATCGAATGGAATGATGAGAAATCTGCTCCTTTCTTTCTTTCTTTTCCTTTTGCTTATGTTTTTGCTTGGGTCATTGTTTAGATTGAGAAGCTTTTAAAGATGAAGCTATAGAAGAAAAGGGTGAGCGAGCCAATGTTTCTAGTCACTCTCAAGTTTGCAGTCAATGTTTCTAGTGACCTTCAACAATTCGTAATATAAATTCCCTTGTTTATGTCAAGTTCTTCTTTAGCCATCCTATAATTTTTAATAATTTTAGACTTATACATATCATTCATGGCTCTGTTAACATTTGTTGTTACGCATAAGGGGTTTTGTCTAGTTCTACTCTGTGATGTTTATTCCCATTTTTTTATTTGTTACCTTCCCCAAGTAAGTATGTGAGATTTAGTTAACTAACTCCAAAATCCTATTTGTTCAAAATGATGAATAAATTACGGGCTCGTTTTATCGAGTATAGACCTTAATCTTGTTTGAGAATTTTCATCAGCGTTGGATATCACAACTTTCATCTTATTTTTTAATTGACTTTATTGTATTTTTCTAGATGGATGATGATCATTATTCAGAATATGTTGTTTCTAGCATTTCAATATCTAATGATTATCTTATGAAAATCCTGATAATGGATGGGACTCAGTTTATTGGTGTGTTTTTGTCAAGACTTCTTGTAAAAGAAGGCCACCAAGTATCAACCCTTCTCTTTACATTTTAACATTTACATGTACTGATTTTCTTTTCCCAATTGTTTTAACTTTCTTAACCATCTTTTTAAACTTATGGTGTGCAATTAAAATTGGGTTGACAAATTCCTACCTAGATTTATATTTGATGACGTCTTTGACTTTTTAATAAACAAGTTTCATCTATCAATTAGTCAATTCAATGGAGCTATTATTGACAATGATACTTGGAATCCATTAATAAACAGAGGCATATTCTTATGTTCACTTCATTTAAATTATTTGATGTACTAATTACGCATCATATATCTAATCTTATCTACCAACCTAAAATTCGAATGAAAATATGTGCATATGACTCTTTCTGTTTGAACCTGTTTGTTTTTTATTTTGAAAATATGTTCATATATATATATATATATTTATATATTGTAGATCTATAAATAACACAATAAGTAGTTCACATTTTTGTTCTATTGGCCTGCACATTGTCATGGATGCAGTTTTTTTATAGGTTGATTCTTCATCTTCTTCTTCATTTTTTGCAGATTTCTGCTACTTTGAAGACATCGATTGGTTAATTCACTCTCTATCAAGGTATTTCTCTATCCTTCAAGTAGTATTGAGTTTTTAATACAGATTGTAGCCAAAAATTAGTTTTAATGTTGAATTAATAAAATTAATTTAACTCATTCTGTTTGACTTTTGTTTACTTCATCCTTTTGATGTGAATTTTAATTATAGGTATTTCTCAATCCTCTTGATGTGAAATTTTAATTTAACTCAGGTTTGTTAAAAGAACTAGGCCATATATGTTCCCGGTTCTGTGTTGGCTGGAACATCTTCGGGGAGAGGTGAAGATCCTTGACAAGGATCTGATATTGGTTAAACTTCACTCATTTCCTCACCTGCAGAATTTTCTTCTTCAAGCTATGTCTCTTAACTGTTATCTCCATTGTTTTGTTTGCCCCAGGTATGCATTAGATGATATTGGTTCTGGATCTCATGTGCATCTCAGTTTGTGTCAGAGTTGAACCCATATGAATAGGTAGTTTGGTACTAACAGAGAAGTATGCATTTTTACCAGTTCTGTTAAAATATCTTGTCTACATAGAATTATTTTTTAAGCATGCAGTTATATTTGGAAATTTGATGGGTGTACTATTGATCTTGAGGAAAACCTTTCACGGTGATGTTTCCATCGATGGGTGTACAAATTGGTTTCTGCTTTTAAGACCAATAAGCTTTATTGATCCTTATTTGTTTTATAGTTTTTAGTGAGTTATATGTTGATATCATATGATTTTGATTGTCCATATAATACTCCATTTTATCATTTATGTGATCCTTTCTGCATTGTTGCATATTGTCTTCTTTTGTGGTGCTGTTTTACTGATATTTATGTGGAGAATCAAAATAATTATGTCATTTTTGGTGGCTGTGGGGAAAGGATTGGGGGCAGTTTAACAACTGGATAAATTACATTATTTTTGGTGTGATCTAAATGTAAGTTTATAAATTAATTAGTAAGTTTATTCATATGCTTCTGGCGGTTTTTAAATTAATTTATTTTTTTATTTTTCAGGTCAGAAATTTCTTGGAGAGATGCAAAATATGGTCAAAGAATTCAAGAACTTACTTTTTTCAAGTTTTTTATTTTTTATTTTTTAATGTATGTAATCACAGTTAATTTTTTTTTATTAATTTCTTTGTATATACTTTTAAACATTTAACTTTCATTTATGAAATATATGATATTATTTCATTCAATATATCATTGTGATTCGAAATATAGTATATAGTGTGTATTACATTATTCAAATGCGCGTGCAAAAATAATATTGATTATTCTTTAAATATGTCAATTTTTTTTTATCACAGGTTTTATTAGTTATTAATCACACTTAAAAGGTGTGATCTAAAGTTTTTAATCACACTTAAAAGGTGTGATCTAAAGTTTTTAATCACACTTAAAAGGTGTGATCTAAAGTTTTTAATCACACTTAAAAGGTGTGATCTAAAGTTTTTAATCACACTTAAAAGGTGTGATCTAAAGTTTTTAATCACACTTAAAAGGTGTGATCTAAAGTTTTTAATCACACTTAAAAGGTGTGATCTAAAGTTTTTAATCACACTTAAAAGGTGTGATCTAAAGTTTTTAATCACACTTAAAAGGTGTGATCTAAAGTTTTTAATCACACTTAAAAGGTGTGATCTAAAGTTTTTAATCACACTTAAAAGGTGTGATCTAAAGTTTTTAATCACACTTAAAAGGTGTGATCTAAAGTTTTTAATCACACTTAAAAGGTGTGATCTAAAGTTTTTAATCACACTTAAAAGGTGTGATCTAAAGTTTTTAATCACACTTAAAAGGTGTGATCTAAAGTTTTTAATCACACTTAAAAGGTGTGATCTAAAGTTTTTAATCACACTTAAAAGGTGTGATCTAAAGTTTTTAATCACACTTAAAAGGTGTGATCTAAAGTTTTTAATCACACTTAAAAGGTGTGATCTAAAGTTTTTAATCACACTTAAAAGGTGTGATCTAAAGTTTTTAATCACACTTAAAAGGTGTGATCTAAAGTTTTTAATCACACTTAAAAGGTGTGATCTAAAGTTTTTAATCACACTTAAAAGGTGTGATCTAAAGTTTTTAATCACACTTAAAAGGTGTGATCTAAAGTTTTTAATCACACTTAAAAGGTGTGATCTAAAGTTTTTAATCACACTTAAAAGGTGTGATCTAAAGTTTTTAATCACACTTAAAAGGTGTGATCTAAAGTTTTTAATCACACTTAAAAGGTGTGATCTAAAGTTTTTAATCACACTTAAAAGGTGTGATCTAAAGTTTTTAATCACACTTAAAAGGTGTGATCTAAAGTTTTTAATCACACTTAAAAGGTGTGATCTAAATATTTTTAACCACACTTAAAAGGTGTGATCTAAATATTTTTAACCACACTTAAAAGGTGTGATCTAAATATTTTTAATCACACTTAAAAGGTGTGATCTAAATATTTTTAATCACACTTAAAAGGTGTGATCTAAATATTTTTAATCACACTTAAAAGGTGTGATCTAAATATTTTTAATCACACTTAAAAGGTGTGATCTAAATATTTTTAATCACACTTAAAAGGTGTGATCTAAAGTTTTTAATCACACTTAAAAGGTGTGATCTAAAGTTTTTAATCACACTTAAAAGGTGTGATCTAAAGTTTTTAATCACACTTAAAAGGTGTGATCTAAAGTTTTTAATCACACTTAAAAGGTGTGATCTAAAGTTTTTAATCACACTTAAAAGGTGTGATCTAAAGTTTTTAATCACACTTAAAAGGTGTGATCTAAAGTTTTTAATCACACTTAAAAGGTGTGATCTAAAGTTTTTAATCACACTTAAAAGGTGTGATCTAAAGTTTTTAATCACACTTAAAAGGTGTGATCTAAAGTTTTTAATCACACTTAAAAGGTGTGATCTAAAGTTTTTAATCACACTTAAAAGGTGTGATCTAAAGTTTTTAATCACACTTAAAAGGTGTGATCTAAAGTTTTTAATCACACTTAAAAGGTGTGATCTAAAGTTTTTAATCACACTTAAAAGGTGTGATCTAAAGTTTTTAATCACACTTAAAAGGTGTGATCTAAAGTTTTTAATCACACTTAAAAGGTGTGATCTAAAGTTTTTAATCACACTTAAAAGGTGTGATCTAAAGTTTTTAATCACACTTAAAAGGTGTGATCTAAAGTTTTTAATCACACTTAAAAGGTGTGATCTAAAGTTTTTAATCACACTTAAAAGGTGTGATCTAAAGTTTTTAATCACACTTAAAAGGTGTGATCTAAAGTTTTTAATCACACTTAAAAGGTGTGATCTAAAGTTTTTAATCACACTTAAAAGGTGTGATCTAAAGTTTTTAATCACACTTAAAAGGTGTGATCTAAAGTTTTTAATCACACTTAAAAGGTGTGATCTAAAGTTTTTAATCACACTTAAAAGGTGTGATCTAAAGTTTTTAATCACACTTAAAAGGTGTGATCTAAAGTTTTTAATCACACTTAAAAGGTGTGATCTAAAGTTTTTAATCACACTTAAAAGGTGTGATCTAAAGTTTTTAATCACACTTAAAAGGTGTGATCTAAAGTTTTTAATCACACTTAAAAGGTGTGATCTAAAGTTTTTAATCACACTTAAAAGGTGTGATCTAAAGTTTTTAATCACACTTAAAAGGTGTGATCTAAAGTTTTTAATCACACTTAAAAGGTGTGATCTAAAGTTTTTAATCACACTTAAAAGGTGTGATCTAAAGTTTTTAATCACACTTAAAAGGTGTGATCTAAAGTTTTTAATCACACTTAAAAGGTGTGATCTAAAGTTTTTAATCACACTTAAAAGGTGTGATCTAAAGTTTTTAATCACACTTAAAAGGTGTGATCTAAAGTTTTTAATCACACTTAAAAGGTGTGATCTAAAGTTTTTAATCACACTTAAAAGGTGTGATCTAAAGTTTTTAATCACACTTAAAAGGTGTGATCTAAAGTTTTTAATCACACTTAAAAGGTGTGATCTAAAGTTTTTAATCACACTTAAAAGGTGTGATCTAAAGTTTTTAATCACACTTAAAAGGTGTGATCTAAAGTTTTTAATCACACTTAAAAGGTGTGATCTAAAGTTTTTAATCACACTTAAAAGGTGTGATCTAAAGTTTTTAATCACACTTAAAAGGTGTGATCTAAAGTTTTTAATCACACTTAAAAGGTGTGATCTAAAGTTTTTAATCACACTTAAAAGGTGTGATCTAAAGTTTTTAATCACACTTAAAAGCACACAAACTCCCGCTCGAGCGTCAAACCTCACGCTCGAGCGTCCAACACTACAGAGGAAGTACTGGGAAGGTGATTTTCCCGCTTGAGCGCCGAAACCCCCGCTCGAGCGGAGAGGCCAAAAAACTGGGCAAAAATTCTAAGTTCTAAAACATAACCAACTTATTCCCAACAAGTCCAACACAACCCAAAACTCTAAGATAAAGAGTAAGGAATAGAAAAGAGGATAAGACAATAACAAATCTACGAAACTAAGTCCGGATTACAGTTCAATAACAACAGGGAATACCGGGATCGCTATAGTAATATTTTTATAAGTTAGTCATTTCGTGATAAGGGCTTGTAATCCAATAGTATCACCCTAACACTCTCCTATGAAAAATTAGTGGTTTAGACCTTGCTAAAGACGAAGTTAGTGGTATAAAAATGTGTACCACCTGCTACTTGTTGCATGCTCATCCACTCTCGCCGCTTAGCTACTCTTCCTTATATCTTATGGATTTTGACTGGTTATTAATCTTGATGCATGCATAAAAAGTATATATGCAAAAAATAAAAAAATATATATAGAGATGCAGTAAAAAAATAACCTTATTTCATCATTTCCTTTGTGGAGAGGTTGATTTTACTGACTCGAAACCGTGCCACATAATTAGAACAAATTGCATTTATAATCGCATCATGTCATAACCTCTATCAACCTAGAACGGAGGAGAGGCAAAAAACTGTTTAATTCATTTAGAGGCTTTTTTGAGTTCTAGGACGGTAGCAGTCTATTTATTTATTTATTTTTATTTTTAATAGAACTTCCATGTGATGTGAACATATTGCTAATGTATGGAGGTTGTTGAAGTCTTTATCACGATAATTGTTGTGATTGGACCCATAGACAACCATCAAAAATCTACATTAGAATTGGTTATCACATGAAGTAATTAATTGGCCTCCTATTAATTAATCTCATCAACTTATATAATTGCTAGTGTGTACACAGACACAAAACAGCTCTTCCTCTCAGCGAGTCCCTTAACTCGAATGAGCCCACCATAACTGGGGTTAGTTAGCTTAGATCTAGCCACATGTTTCTTTCACAACTATTTTTATGGGGTCACACAAAAAATAAAAGGAAAAACTATGTAAAACTCAAGAAATATCCAAAAATGAAATGTATGATATTGATTCAAACTTAAGTATGGTGTGGACATACCCATAATAAATATGGTCCACTCATTTCATTTTGAGGTAGTTTTTCTGGGTGTGTGATATTGTATTGCTATTATGTCACATACTCTTGTTTTATTTATTTTTACTTTCTCGATTTTATGTTAGCATTCATTCTTGTGTGTGGTCATATTCCCCAATTGCAAATTCCCAGCCTAATTTTGAATGGAAATTGATTTTGGAGTGTGATTTGAAAAAGGAAAGAGAAAATGTATGTGAAACTAGGTGAATTATTTATTTACATTTTTACCTACATTTTTCCTTTCCCTTTCTAAATTTCTCAACCAAATTATTTATTTTTTAGTTTCACTGTTTTTCAATATGGTACCATGAACATTTCTGCATTTTCACCAAACGTTTGTTGAAGAAGTGACGGAATTCCATAAATACCGCAAAGTTATGTTGATTTGACTTGTAACATACTAGATCCAAATTTCTCAAATGCATTGTTTAGTAATTTGATTAATTTTATGTTATAAAGATTAATGAGGAAGAATAAACTTTCTCAAATACATGTAAC